CAAGGATATTTATATTTTGTTCTTGGAGCAAAGTAAATCCAAATAATGTTGCATATTATCAGGAGTCTTTCCTTGTGACGTGAGTCACTCGGTTTGGAAAAATGATTGAAATTTCCCAAAAACCAAAAATAGATTTTTTTTTTAAACCGGCCAAGTGCGCCTTTGTAAGCATTGTATTTTTTCAAAAACAAAAATTGTATTGTTTCTCAGCAAAAAAAAATTTCAAAAAAAATTGTATTGTTTCTCAGAAAAAAAATTGAAAAAATGCCGAGTAACCATTTCAATGCGTTGTTGTGGAAAAATGCCCGAGTACTTATTTATGGATAATTGTTTCTGGGAAATTGAAAAAAGTGCAGAAGTAAGGAAGAGCGCCAAGTTCATGCAGTTGAACTTGTGATTTTGAAAAACGACAGAACTTTTCATAACATCTAGAAACAATTTCACCTTTTTTCTACAGTCGGCTTGTACTGTTGCAAATTTTATAAGTTTGAACTCATCAATGCCAACTCAATATTGTCTATTCCTGTGAGTTACGGAGTGGGTACGACCATGAAAAGTGTGGTTATCCACACAAAGTCAATGAAAAAGAGTGCGAATACGAGTGTTTCTTTAAAAAAAAATTGTTCAGAAAATTCTCAAGACCAACGTACTTGACGCGGTTTTTTGAAACACTCATTGCGGAGAGTTGTCGCTTTATGTTGACACCATGGTCGAATGAACCTTCTCCATACTTTTATCTCACGAATGCCGATAACTACCTGGCGATCACTACCTTAATTAATTCAATTTCTATTCATGAAAATGAAAATATTTGAAAATGGCAAAGAATAAGCTTAAGGCATTAACTTAAACTATCCGGGAATTCCATCCAACACAATCACACAATTGACTATTTAAAGATTTGAACACCTAGCAAGGTGTAGTATGCTTCAAAGCAATTTCTGAGTCCCAAAGTGGATCGGAAATCTCAAACAATAGACTCCCAAATAAGGATCCGCATTAAGATAAAAAACCGCGCCAAGTACGTTGGTCCTGAGAATTTTCTGAACAATTTTTTTTTAAAGAAACACTCGTATTAACTCTCTTTTTCATTGACTTTGTGTGGACAACCACACTTTTTATGGTCGTACCCACTCCGTAACTCACAGGAATAGATAATATTGAATTGGCATTGATGAGTTCAAACTTATAAAATTTGCAACAGTACAAGCCGACTGTAGAAAAAAGCTGAAATTGTTTCTAGATGTTATGAAAAGTTCTGGCGTTTTTCAAAATCACAAGTTCAACTTCATGAACTTGGCGCTCTTCCTTATTTCTGCACTTTTTCAATTTCCCAGAAACAATTATCCATAAATAAGTACTCGGGCATTTTTCCACAACAACGCATTGAAATGGTTACTCGGCATTTTTTCAATTTTTTTTCTGAGAAACAATACAATTTTTTTTGAAATTTTTTTTTGCTGAGAAACAATACAATTTTTGTTTTGTAAAAATACTATGCTTACAAAGGCGCACTTGGCCGGTTTAAAAAAAAAAATTATTTTTTTTGTTTTTGGGGGATTCAATTTTTTTGGGATGCAAGATTTGCCTCATCTTAGAGATTTCATGATGCTGGACGCCTATTCAATTGATTTCCTCGGAGCTTTTCAAGTCTTGAAAATTCCAGAAAAATTTGAATAAATACATACCGTAATTGAACAACTTTTTGATAAAAGCTCAAGATTATCGTTAAATTTTAGTTTATATTTGTTTATCATCAGTATATAAGCATTCGCGTATTCAACAGCGAATGCGAATTGTGTCGAGGCCTCCGGCCGATAAGGATACTTCCCTGCTATAGTTCTCGCCAGGAAAGAAGGAACATCGGGTTTTAGCCGAAGGCCCCCCACCACTGCCCACCCCGGCATGAAATGTATCATTCCGCGCGCGCCAAATTTGAGCGCAATCTTCAAATCAATTCCAGTTTTCACTGAAGTCTGATGAAAGGTACTCATCATTACTCAAAATGAGAGAATAATAATAGACAAATTATACATCCATAACCTCAATTCTTAACGGGGACTCAGGGTAAATTTGAAAGTCTTCGGTTGATGAAAATAACTATCTAGTGACTTTTGACATATCGTAAGGTACGTAAAAACTAAGAAAAATTTCATACCAAACTCATTTTACCCCGTACGTTACGCGAAATGGTGGTTTTTCGTGATTTAGCTTTGAAATGCTCCTCGCACCACAATTTTCATCCGATTCAAACTTTGTTTTTACTTTTTTCATACCGCATAAAACTTATTATTCTGAGTAGTCGAACATTAAAATAGTACATAACAGGTGTTCAATATTAGAAAATGGAGAGTTGGATGAAGAATCAATTTTGAACGGAATCAATTTAAAATCTTATCCCTTTAAAATCTGATCCCTTTCGAAATTACTCACGTATTGCATATGGTATGGTTATTTTTGCTAAGAAATTAGCAATATGCTTCCGAATGGTTATTTTGCACATAATTTCTTTTTATCATGTATAATTCATTATTTATTTCATTTTATGAAGTTCAATAAGATTTCGTTGTAACTAATTTTGTCAGATTTTCAACTGAGTTAAATGATATCATCATCATTATTTTTATTATCCCTTTCTTCTATACAAACAATTGTTTTTTTTACAGTTGCATCTCTCGCCTGAGCTAAAATGTTAATTCAAAAATTTGAATTATTCAAACAATTTTTGCATTTCGAAGAACAATCAGTAGCCTTCAAAATGGTACATTATAATTTTGATTCAATCGTCTTTTCATGNAGAACAATCAGTAGCCTTCAAAATGGTACATAATAATTCTGATTCAATCGTCTTTTCATGAAGTTATTGCAGATTGTTCCCATTTTTGTTTCCGAATGGAAGCGTCATAATCGTTCAAATTTATGTTTTGTACTTTTGTGTTATATCGACCCAGTATGATCCAAAAAGTCCGCAAATGCAATTTTTAGACCTCTTCCGTACGTGTATGTGTGTACGTATGTAACAAAGTATTTCTTCAATTGTTCGTTAATGTATGGATGGAATCAAATCTTTTTTTCCAATGTAGGTATTGTTGAGCCCTATCAATCACCATTAATTAAAATTTCATTCATTGATTAGTTTATTTAATCGGCGAATGTTTTCAAAAATCGGTTTTTCCACGATTAAATTATTGAATTTAATAACTGAAAAAAATGTTTTGAATTCATTGAATAATGGCTTGAAAAAATTGGTTTGAATGTACTTTTGACCGAGTTCGAAGATGAAGATTTTGATTTATTTGAAAATACTCAAAAATTGTCCATTTTTTGAAAAGCGAAGTTAAACGATGATAACGAGAGATATATTGGTTGATTTAATTTTTATGATAATTGTTGAAAATTTCGAATTTTTCATAAATTTTGTTGAAAGTGAGCTTTCTCATGGTTTCTTTAAATGTGATGTTTCAATTTTATTCTAGCATCTATAAATCAAATTTTTGAATTAACATTTTAGCTGAGGGGAGAGATGGAACTGTAAAAAAAAACAATTGTTTGTATAGAAGAAAGGGATAATAAAAATAATGATGATGATATTGTTGCGTATTTACCCTTTATGTCGCGCCGTGCGATAAGTCGAGTTTATCGCACGCTGCGCATCACGCAGCTTGCTCAAAACTCGACTTCTGCACGACTTGACATAAAATATTATAGAGCACTCGGTAATAAATTTCGTTTTCAACGAATGTGTAGTTTACCTGTAGCCTTCGGCTCGGCCTGTATTCACATTCGTTGAAAACGAAATTTGTGCCCTTGTACTCTAATGTACTAGTTTCTCCCTCAACCAACTTCATGTACGATCATCTCTTTGTCGATCATCATTCTTTTATCTTAGCTCTTAGTTCGCGGACGTGTCATTTCACTCCCTCTTTTGGAAAGTTGTCGCCCCGACAACAATATCATTCAACTAAGTTGTAAATCTGACAAAATTAGTTATAACGAAATCTTATTAAATTTAATGAAATAAAATAAATAATGAATTATACATGATAGAAAGAAATTATGTGCAAAATAGCCATTCGGAAGCATATTGCTAATATCTTAGCAAAAATAACCATACCACATGCAATACGTGAGTAATTTCCCGCTTGTTTTCGGTTTAAATCGAAAGGGATAAGATTTTAAATTGATTAAGTTCAAAACTGATTCTTCATCCAACTCTCCATTTTCCAATATTGAACACCTGTTATGTACTATTTTAATGTTCGACTACTCAGAATAATAATTTTTATGCGGTATGAAAAAAGTAAAAACAAAGTTAGAATCGGATAAAAATTGTGGTGCGAGGAGCATTTCAAAGCTAAATCACGAAAAACCACCATTTCGCATAACGTACAGGCTAAAATGAGTTGGGTATGAAATTTTTCTTAGTTTTTACGTACCTCATGATATGTCAAAAGTCACTAGATAGTTATTTTCATCAACCGAAGACTTTCAAATTTACCCTGGGTCCCCCTTAAGAATATTGAGGTTATGCATGTATAATTTGTCTATTATTATTCTCCCATTTCGAGTAATGATGAGTACCTTTTATCAGACTTCAGTGAAAACTGGAATTGATTTGAAGATTGCGCTCAAATTTGGCGCGCGCGGAGTGATACATTTCATGCCCGAGTGGGCAGTGGTGGGGGGCCTTCGGCTAAAACCCGATGTTCCTTTTTTCCTGGCGAGAACTATAGAAGATATGAAAAGGCCCAGTGCAGGTCAAGGATGGGCCGGTCGGAACCAACATTGGGCCACTCTCGGCCCACTTTTTATCTCCTACCAGAGTTGAAGGTCTAACGGAAATGAGTAATTTTCATTTTAGATTCTAAAAAAGGCGCCGAGTGATCAGTAAGGCGGTGAATTTCTTGGAAATTCACCGCCTTACTAGTCATGGTTGATGACTTGACGAAAATGATCAATGGCAGCAAACCATCCATCTACTTTTTTAATGAGATATTCACCCATTCAAAGAAAAAGTACAATGTGCAGCAGTCAAGACAAATAAATCAGATACTAGGGTGCCTCCGCAGCCCCACTCGATGCCAGTATGAGTGTTGAATCCCACTGCTACCATGTGTGGAAACTCTTTGGGTTCCGCCTTGGTTCCACCCACAATGAGTTTCTGATATTTTATAGCACAAAGACTGGCATTGACCGGTGTTCGATCTACCGCCAAGGTCGGTGGAGTCATCAGAGCGTAGACTGATTTTGCGTAATGAGCACACACTGAAAACCAAGATTCGGATTGAGAAATTTCTTGAATGAATAATTCGCAAAGTGGAGCGGTCAAGGTGTTCAAGTCAAATATAAGAGTTTTGGGATGTATGCAAATCTCGAAACGAGTGAATTTACCACAGTAGGCCTTTTTATATTCCCTTGCAAATTTCCTAATTTCTACGTTGTTTACAATAATTTTTTTCGAAAATGTCTATGAAAACGTTCATAACTATATGTTTCTTATAGTTCTTTTCGAATATGTCCATAATTGACAGAATTGGTAGATTTGACGCAAATCGTTCAACTAATTCACCACTCAGCAGTAAATTCCAATTAATATAAATAATTTTAGAGAATATTACTCTGACGCGCAAGAACATCGGTTTCCATCGGACTCCCGGCAACCAGAGGCCTTGAAGATGAAAAGGTGGAATGAGACGTCATCGTGATTTTTTCCGTTGCTATTCCGGTCGAGTTTTCCTGGAGAAGCAATGGACAACAAACAATGGGTAGATAGCCAGCCCAACCACACCGGGTATCCGGTGGTGTACCAGCCTGTAATTGCTTATCAACTACGTTGCATTGAGGTAACTCTGTGCAGATCCCTGGCGTGCCATCTTTCATATTGCAGAAAAGCCCTGAAGTTTTTTATTTCAATTATAATCATCCAAACTATATTGGGATTCAAAATGAACATATCGATTTCATGGAATTAATTACTGGCAGAATTTCAAAAGACTTGAGTGTTGGACCCTGTATGTTTTCCTCTTAAAATATTTTGTAATAAGAAATCAATGATGGAAAGCAATTTCCTATTTCATTTGACTGTTTTGTTATTTATATATACTAGAAATAAATATACAACAAATCTGGATTATTTTATGAATAACAGTTTGCTGTCCAATTCAGCAATAAAACAAAACGAGTATTTAAAAAAAATTAAATTAATCGGATCAGTAGTTTGGTAGATATTGACCAAACAGTTTTCTACAAAAAGTTGAATATATTCTAAACCACTAGTTTGATATCGCCTACCTACAATCCTATCCTGCTCTATCATAAGAGCTACAACTTCACCAAATTTTAACAGCCCATCAACATTTTTTTGGGAGTTATCGTGTACAGAACGATATTCTCATAAACGAAAAATGGTAATTAATCCTGAACTGCCACTAGTTAAATGGCAGTATTATTATTTTGATAGATATTATTACAAGGAATATTTTGACGTCCAAGAAATTCAATTCAGTCATGCAGTTTTCGACACACTAAGGAAAAAAGTTTTGATATAGACGGGTTACAGCGGAGATATGGAGGATTGATTTTTGTTCTTTCCTGTAAAAAATTGTTTTTGGTCCATTTTAATTACGAGCTATGATTGACAACAAAAGAAACATTTAAGCATAGATTTCCAAGGACATTTTGGCAACTTTTCGAAAAAATATTGTTTTTTATATATCTACATATTTTGCTATAAAAAACTCAGAATGAAAGTTTCTAACGATCATTCTAGGTCGTTCTCCTCTTTTTTCTGGTAGATATTTTTCTTTCTTTCATTGTGAAATCCATGATATTTCCTGACTTTTCAGGTTTTCTTGGTGCTATGATAACAGGGGGGTTGTCGCGGAGAACGAATTTCTTTACTCTCACTCCCTCAAATCATGCCATTTAATACCAAGAAAAATTGGTTAAAATTTCAGTTCAATCGAATAGCATTAACCCATAGTTCTTCATTAACATTGATTTCAGATGCGAAATAACGAGATTTCCCTATTTTCGCAATGATTTGAAATAAGTACCAGATAGATAGATAAATAGGTTTTATCCTTTTATATACTTCGACTATGTACCATGCCGCGGCCAATGAGCCCTCATAGAAGTAGAAGTAATGCTTTGGAGTTGATTAAAAGCTATGGGAATGTTAAAAATCGTGGAGGGAGAAAATATCAAAGATTACTTAATTTAAATCATGTAAGTTTCAGAAGAATGATCCTGAATACAGTTTGTGAGACTTACATCATTGATAAAGAACAGTTCATTGAAAAATGAACTGGAGTTCATTCTAAATGCAGCAGAAATCAAGAAATACAAATAAGAAGTTGATTCTTCATTTTAAAAATGTCTTCTATTTATGCATGGCAGATAGTTGAAATCAATTGAAAACAAAGGGTACCTAATTGCCCATGTTTAAGGTTCTAGAATTCTTTCATCAATGTTGATTTATTACAATTCGGGAATTTTTTACCGCAGTCGCTAACAACTGGTAACAGAAACTGTACTTGTCCTTCATTTTTTGCAATAATACCATTGTGTTCTTGAATAAATTTCACTCCGAGCTTTGTTACATCATTACCAACTTTGAATGTATCAAGAAGACATCGAGCTTTCAGATAGTCAGCAATGCGTTCTCCGGGCAAACTAACAAGTCGCTTTCCCATCTGTGGATTTTTTCTCATCAAAAAATGTCAGCGCGGCAGGTTCAGATATCACATACCAAATGTTCACAAAATCTCTTCAATGTCACTCGTGATATAGCTGAGTCGATTTTCATCTACTCCAATGAATCTTGCAAAAATTGTAAGTGTTGATATGGTGCTTCCACAGTCAGTGGGGTACAAAACCAAACTTTTGTGTACAAACAAATGAGAAAAATACGTATTTCAACAAATGAATTGTTTTTCTCATCACCCAGCACCTATTTCTCACGAGAAATGTACATATTTAAACTGCAAATTCTTTTCGCCATCTATCTCGTATGATAGATGGCACCTGGCATGCAAAAAGATATACCGCGAGGTGGAATTTGCTCCTAACAAATTAACGGTAATTCTCGAAATTCTTTTCTCCTAGGTGATTAGCACGAAGACAACTCCTGACAAAAAAAATTATCTCTGGTACGATGTCCTGAATTTGTGAAGAGACGGGAGGATTCAAAATTCCAGATTGGGAATTGTTATTACCAATTGTATCCATGAATATGGAAAATGCTTAAAAAGTGGTAAAGGTGAAGCCGTTTTCTTAAAATAATCTCATAAAAATCATGTCTATTCATAAAGCACACAAGGTCTCCATCTAACAGTTGCTCTAACATGATGCAAGCCTCCTTTGAGTCTATCAATATTCGATGCTGTGGTATTGCAACATAGGGCCTGGACTTTATTCACGATCATCCATGTTTGAATGCTACAACAGGTACTCTCAAACGTTTTTCCACACCATTCTCATAGTCTACACGCAATACCCCCTTCCAGTGGACATGACAAGTACGACAAGATTTTATGATCGAAATTCACGTCTTCGGGGGTGAGTAATCTGATTTTTTTGTGTTTTTGCGATTCCTTTGGGCAATAAATTGTTATATACAGTCTTGTCTCAATTTCTCACGAAAAATCGTTTTTTCACGCACACCTTGGGCCATACCGAAAAATGTTTTAAATGAAACTTGTTCATCTTTCTCATACGGACGGAACGGTTTTTGGTTTATCGAAATCGGCCCAGTGCATCACGTGCTATCCGCTAATTAGTACGCGTTCTTAATGAACAGATGTTTTTTCATCAACAATGATTCACAGTCAACATCATTGACATTGAATATCTGTGTAAACATCTTTCATTTCATATCATTTCTCTTAATTCAAAGATTCAAAGACATGAATTCTTCAATGACTAGATTCTTCGTTGTTTGTACTCATTTTAGTGACCTCTAGAAGTCCTAGGATTGTTCTGGTTCAATGGTTATCTGATATCGCCCGTATTCAGTTTATAGTTCCGGGAGTTTTCAGGATAGCTCACGATTGAGTTGTTCAATGGAATAAAATACGTAAAACTTCCCAATATTCATTCACGAGCCATCATTTGGCTGATCATTCTTCGAGAGACACGGGTTAATATTATCTGGTTGAGCTGAAATTTTCACCAATTTTTTTTTGGTATTGGATGGAATATTTTCAGGGGGTGAGAGTAAAGAAATCCCCGCTCGTTTTCCATAACAAACCTCAAAAAAAAAGGTACAAACTCGAAGATACAACACTAAAAAAAAATATTTAGTTCTCTCACATAAATATCTATAATACTGAAATTTTAATCAAAATCGTTTTTTTTACAGCAAGATCCCAAGTACAAATTTTGGTCAACTTTAAATCAATATTATATTAAGTCAGGCCTGAGGATTGATCAGAAAGTGATATCATAACTGGATCAAGCCCTGATCAGACATGTAACACGGTGTTTAATCAAGACGTGATCAAGCATAGCGGTTCTGCATTTCATCCAAAATAAACGTATTCATGCTGGATGACCTGTCCATCGTAATCAATCATAATTGTTAATGATAATCAAATGAAAACAGAAGGTGTAAGGATATTTTCCCGGGTTGTTCGCCCAGGAAAAGTCCAAACTACTTTTAAGCCTTCTCTATCGCTTATTTGTTGGGCGGCAGCTGAACCTGCACGGGAGGTTCGACGGAAACCGGCCTCTGAGGCAAACTCGTCCACTCAGAGGACTTTTTTGGCTGGACAATGGGTTGCCCAGCTAGCATCTGTGTGACACGGTAGAGTGGGCGAGGTCCATCAGGAGTATTACCATCACATCCTCACGAGCCTCTGTAAGCCGTGTATTCTGCCTTACAGCATAATCCCCAGAATGAATTAAATTCATGTCCAGAGTCTTTCAACTCTTCCAATGTTCCTTTTCCTTCCGAGTACTTCGACTCGAGTCTTCAGAGTCCAGTGCGAATCAGCCAGGACTCCTCAGAGCCTGGGACGTTGAGAGGCTGATCTGACCAGGGTGAAACCCCGTTACCCATGCTACGACCACCCACACTCTCAACCACCAGTTACCGCTTCGGTCATCGCGCGTCACGGCCTCCGGGTAGTACTAGACCGTCTACTCCAGGCCCACGGGCCGAGACTCGATAACGCCGGAAACAACAAAGTCGTCACTTTGCGTGCCGAAATAACTCCTTTTTATTAGCGGGAGATGCATGGGCATCTCCCTACGCTCGCCGCCAACGGTTACTCACCGAGGCGACGTGGAGGCCGAAACTCCTTAACATGGCTTATTCAACCATTCCTCCATCCAACACACCGAGAGATTCTTTCAACTCCTCAGTTCAAGCGCTCCCGTTCGACTAACTCCCAATCTCACTAGGACCTTGCCTCCTAGTCTGGGTATCTCGGCGACGATAGGTCATTCCGTTACCCTATCCCCACCAATCAACCCAACGGGATCACGGAAGTACCAGTCCTTTCACCTGGCCGTTGGTCCCTAGTCTACTCCGACATAGCCTTTAGAATCGCCCAGTTGGACAGCCTGTACGTCGGCCCCTTTTCCCCTAGCATATGCTGGGCGAATTCTAAAATAGCGATAGTCTAGTAACGTCCTCTAGACTTCCGGCGGTCGCGGTTCCACCCAAAACCGCTATGCCTTCAGCCTGTCATCGGTCTGTGGCTCTTCTCATCCAATCGCAGCTCTTTCAGCCGCCTCCGCCTTCTCTTTCCTATTTAAGGGGATTTCAAGCCGTAACGAGAAAATCTCGTTACAAAGGTCATTCCGTTTTTTCAGTGTATATCGCCTCTCTTGATGAATCCCTACGGTAATTACCGCTGAGAAACCTTTATGATTTTTGCCGATGTTGGAG